ATTGTTGATAAGAAAGACAAAAAAGTCTGGAAAGTGGACATTGCAATATCTGGAGACAGCAAAATAGAAGAGAAAGAACTGGAGAAAAATCACAAAATACAAAGACCTGCAAATAGAAATAGAATGACTGTGGCAGAAGAAAGCAACGATAGTATCAATAGTAATAGATGCCTTGGGTGCAATCCCAAAATATTTGGAGCACCACTTGAATACCATTGGCACTGACAAAATCACCATCAGTGAACTGCAAAAGGCAGCTTTACTCGGAACAGCTTATATCCTGTGACGAAACTTTTCACACCATCAGACAACCAAATCTGCCTTTCCCAGGTCCTTGGGAAGGACTTGATAGGTGGATAAAAATGCCAAATCCAGTCTAAACATCTGGATGACTGTGCAACCAATAATAATAGTAATAATAAATTATTTTTCAAAAGGTAGTCTGGCCCCAGAGTGGTTGTCACCCTGCTGATGGCTGCGTGAACTGGCATATCTGCCTTTGCTCAACCAAATCTGCCTTTCCCAGGTCCTTGGGAAGGACTTGATAGGTGGATAAAAATGCCAAATCCAGTCTAAACATCTGGATGACTGTGCAACCAATAATAATAGTAATAATAAATTATTTTTCAAAAGGTAGTCTGGCCCCAGAGTGGTTGTCACCCTGCTGATGGCTGCGTGAACTGGCATATCTGCCTTTGCTGCTTAGAAAAAGACATTGTAGAGACTGGCCATTTTTCTCCAGGGTTCCATATTAGGGTGCTACCACTGAGAAGGTCCTGCTTGGAGAGGTAGACCCACCAAGACCATTTCAGACTTAACAGAGTCATGTCAGCATCTTAAATGAAGCCTGTTAGTTCACTTTTACAATTGGTGATATCTGAGGTTAAATTTTCAAGATTTTAAATTGATTCTACTATCTATAGTTTTGTAGCCTGCTTCCTTTTACTTTCTTATCTTGGAGCAGTGTTTTGATTTTAGCAGAAGAGTGATATAAAAATTATGACTAAAAGGCAGAAGCTGTTAAATGAGCAGAAACACACTTATTGATTCTGTTGTGCTAGTAATTAGAGAAGTAATAGTAATCTTGATGATTCAGGCATGCGACAGAATTTTGTAATCAAGAAAAATACTGTTTCTTTAAATCCTCCAGGTTCAGAAGGTCATCTTGTTTGGGCTCAGAAACTAACCAGGGTAGTACTTGGACAGGAGGCCACCGGGGAATCGTAGAGCTGTAAATCTGGGAAGTCATAAAAATATGCCAGAAGAAGGCAGTGGGAGACCACTTCTGTAGTGTTGCCAAGGAAACTACATTCATGAAGTCCCCAGGAGTCAACTGTGACTTGAAGGAGACTTAATTTACTTACCCATGTTAAAACATAATGTTGATTTTAAAATATCTAAACCCATGTCTACTCATTTGGTTTCAATCAACTTTCTCCAACTTGTCTGATAGCCCTTTTTCCAATAAACAAATTTTATTAAAAGGCATAAGTTTTCATGTAGTTCATGATCTACCCGAAAGCTGATGACTTTTAATAAAATTTGTTCATCAGAAAAGGTGCTACCAGACTCCTTCTGATTTTTGGCTACCACAGACAAAGATGGCTCTCCTTCCTACAACTTCCCCAACTTGGTGTCCTTCAGAATACCCAGAATTCCCAGCCAGGAATGGCCTCAGCTGCAACCTAGATGTTACTCCTCCAACGTATCAGGAGGGCACCAGAAGAGGAAACGTTGGTTTAGCTTTTGTTGATGGAAAATGGGAAGTTTGCTGCATACCACAGTCCTAAACCACATGAAGGTAATTCTTCAGCTCAGGAGGAAAATTTTGCAAGGGTAATTTAGTTAAAAATGATTTGAATGGAGGATTTCCATTCATCCACTCTACTAGCACAGGATATCAGACTAGCAAATCCATAGGAACAGCCTTTCTATTAGGGACTTAATAGCTCCTGTTGGTATTGGACAGTCGTTCCTTCATCCAGAGTGACCAAAATTAGATTGCCATGCAAGGCTCACTTTTGAAAGTTCTTTGACATTTAACAGTATTGACCATCACCTTTATCCTATTTGTATGGAGTGGAACAGAGAAATGGACATTGGTGTTAAATCCAGTTTGGCTAAATTCGAGCAGCGAGGAAATCAAGCTAATTCTTCAGGAATCATTCTCTCAGCCTGTGCATATTTGTCATGTTTATGTATTTATTTCTGTAAATATCTATACCCTGTTGATTTGCTGCAAGATCTCAGTCTTGGATGATTATATGGCATAGTGAGAACATGCTTAGTAGTTGTGTTTTGAAAAATGGATGCAAACCCATCTTAGACATTTTGTTTCAGCATCTACAACATGCTATCAGAGTTCTAGAGGTGCTTGTTGGCCAGAAGGATCGGATAACCATAAGTATAGAACAAATAATGGAATAAGTACTCACAGACAAAAGTGTCTCTGTACTGATGTCAAGAGTATCCTCGTTGTTAGGATCCAGGGTCAGCTAGATCTGCTCATCTTTCTAATTACCTGTTGATGCTTCAAGTAGAGTTAGGTCCCTACACTCCATGATAAGATTTTCAGCCAAGAAGAAAAACCATCTAGGAATACTATGCTATGTATCTCTGCAGTGCTGCTTTTCTGATGGCCTGTCTCACCTAGGAGCAAGCGACAATCCATACACACTTTAGCCTCAATTCCTCTCCATTTCTGACTCCAGGCAGCATGATGCTTATTCTGATGTTACTCCAAGAGAAAGATCTTAGGCACATACATTGCAAGAAACAGATGTTGGCTTCATTTCTTTAAAGGGATTTTGGCCACATACCTGAAACTGTAGAGATCTTATTAGGTTGGACAGATTCCTAATCTTGTAAAACATGGGCACATCCAGTCACATGCCAAGCAGTTGCCAAGGGTCCTCCCTGTCACAGTCACTATTGTGCTTCTTTGAAGACAGTGTTTTGCAACCAGTAGTGGCATAGTGTTGGTTCAACACAGAAATGATCTAAGTGGGATTATTGGAAAAGAACCTGACAGACAGCAGAGAAGTAGGAAGAACATCTCATCAGAGAGCTTCCCATAGTCCAAACTGGAGCAACCTCTGAGAAGTTGGAGCTCAGGAGCCAGAATCAAATAATGTTGCATACTATTTAGCTTGCTCTCATTATTTGTTCATATTTTTTGGTTTGGGCTTACAAAAAGATGCTCCCACATTAGTGAGCTTTGCTTTGGCTATAGTGATCCCCCCCACTTGGTATTTTAGATTTATAGGATAATTGTCAAGATTACTGTTGCCATTTTTTTAAGTTTTAAAATTTATCATAAATGGTAAACACCAAAGATCTGTAAACATATAACTGTCCTTTTCAGAAAAAAGTGGGAATTTTGTTTGCATTTATGGTGGGACCCAGTTTCTTTGATGGAGTGATTAGAGGGACTGAAGGTATCAAAAGCTGAGAACCCCTAATCTGAGCAATCAAACAACTCTTGACTACTTCCAACTTTTAAAAGAAAATGGGATAAAACAGTATCACTGAGTACAGCCCGTAGTAACTGCTGCTTATTTTGGGTGTGAGAGAGTGTGCAAGAGAGAAGCAGCTGTGTTTTCCAAAAGCTCTTGAAAGCCAGTTTGACAGACTTTATTTGCAAGGCTGTTCCAGACATACCGGGTGGCAAATAAAATGTCTGAGACATTGTTTGGCTATGTTTTAGCCTGCAGAGGAATCTTGCAGGCCTTGTATAAACTCCCAGCATTAACAGTGTTTAATGGAAAAACTGACAGACTTTCAATTATCAACTCACACAAAGGGTGGTCGGGACAGCAATGAAGGACCAAGGCTCTTATCTCTTCTCCTTGCCATTTTCTCATTGTTCATCTCCAGTTCTTGCTTTGACAGGTTGAACTTTCTAGGTTAAACATTGGAGCTTGAAATGATACCACAGCCACCCCCAACAGTGTATTTATTCCTCAAGTGCCATTCTATCTCATAAGTAGCTTTCTGTACTCTATGGTTGCATTGTTATGCTTCATCATTGCAGACCAGCCTTCCTCACCCTGATACCCTCCAGGTGTGTTGATCTTCAACTCCCATGATTCTGAACCAGCGTGGCAAACCTCCGTGTCTAAGAAGTGTGGGAGTAGGGGTCCAACGCATCTGGAAATGTTTAGGTTAGGGAAGCTGAATTGGATGAAGCTTCTGTTGGAGAGGCAGTGGACAGTAATGATTAAGGTGTTGGACTAAGTCTGAGGAGACCCCAGTTCAAGCCCTCACTCAAGCAGAAATCTCACAGGCTTTGGGTCAGTCACTTTCTCTCAATCTAACCTACCTCAGAAGGTTGTTGAGAAGGTAAAAGAATGGTGGGTGAGATAATCATGTATGCTACCTTAAGCTCCTATAGGAGAGCCAGAATAGAAATGAAATGAAATGAAATGAAATGTTTACTATTCCAGTCACCTTTTCTCTCTCTTTGTTGTTTAACCAGGGGCCATTTGAACTGGCTTCAGTTGGACCGCAGAGTGCTGGAGCATGATTTTCCCAAAAAATCTGGATTGGTTGTTTTGTACTTCTGCGTCCGGTGAGGATGAGTTTTGTCAAGTTATCATTCCAAATGAATGCAAATAAAATGTTTTTATTATTTCATATGTTGCGCTGAGGCCTAATTGAACATAAGATTTTGACTATAATCTAGGGTTCAGAAAGTCATCACAGAGGAATGTCCACAGGGGGAGTCAAAAAAGTCAAGATAACGGCCACAGACATGTGATTGAACTTCCATGCTTTTTTATGTGTGTCATGAAAGGGAGGGGGGCTTTGTGGCCACCATCTTGACTTTTTTGACCCCAACCCTGTTGATACTTTTGTTGTCACCATAGGAGATCCCTGGATTGGAAAGAGGAAAACAAGAGTTGTGCATTACATGGATAAGTCCCAAGTTTAATGGCTGGTGTGAAAGTGAGAATAGCCACAACCACAGAAATGAGCTCTGAGGCACAGTAAACAACATAAGAGGAAAAGAACCACAGTGTGCCAGGGTGTCCACATGGTGAGGGGATGCAAAAAATGCAACCCATGTAAAAAAGGGTTGGGCCTTTGATTGTGTCTTGACTGCATCTTTTTCACACACACACGGATACCCCTGGCAATGTGTCACAGTTTCAGTTTGTTTAGAGCTCCCTTAAGACCACCAGTTGGATTTAGACAAGCCTTCATTCATGTATTATGGGAAATAATGGATGTTGAATCGCCCTTGTTCCGTTTCTTTTATGCTTCAGCTTTCTGGGTAGATGCAAATGACTGAAATAAATTCACTTTAGCACCACATCTTCATGCTGCTGACCTTGGTTTTCTTAAAATGCAGCTGAAACTGTGGGATATAAGTGTTCAACAGACACACACATATGACTCTTGTAAGGAGTGAATAAGAAATGGCCAGTGCAGTGATTTCAAAACATGAAATGTACATTACAAATGTTCTTTGTGTGGTCCTTTTTTGTTTAGCAATTCAGTAGAAATGCAATTTATTAAAAAGAGAAATGTAGTCCTAGAATATAGGATGCACGAACAGCTGTCTGATGTTGCACAGATCAAGCAGGCTTCCATATTATATAGCTTTTCAGAAGTCCTATTTCAAACTTAAGAGTGGATCATATACAGAATTAATTTAATGATGATTCCTGATCTTCCAGGAATCCAGGGAAATGCAGCTTTTTAAGGAAGCTTGGAAACTCTAAGAGAATATTCATCCTCCATGCCAAACTACACTCCCTAGGATATTTTTAGGGAAACTTGGAAAAATCAACACGTTTGTCCACCTATCTGGCCAGGAAGTGCTGAGATGTGAATAACAGAAAAATAGGTGGACAGGTACCAATTAAATGCTGACAGTCAAATTATGTTTAATCATGTATCCAAGTGATCATTAGATACATGGGCCTTTATGAACGTAGGTAAGATTCATGCATTCGTGCATTCTAAACCAAACAAGAATAATGCACTGAGAAAGAAATCGGACAGGAAGGAAATTTGGGAAGATAAAGCAGCGTTGTGTGCCGAAGTGACCTTTAGGGATGCATTTAAAAAGAGAAGGCGAAAGGATTAGTTTATCATAAAAAACCAAGACATCAGCGGTTCAGCTGAGAGACCTGAGAAAGACTGATAGGAAATAAGAAAATAAAAAGGGAATATTTGTCAAAATGTCAGTGCAGAAAGCTGGCAACAATCAGTGTTTACATCTTACTGACATTAAGATTAAAGTAGAAAGTCATGCTGAGTAATGGTTGCACCTCTTAAATAGCATATTGGTATTATTCTCCCCGTGCCTATTGTCATGGCCAAGGGGGTGTGGAGAGCAATCTGGGCCCCAGGCAAAGCTCTCAGATGGGATTCCCCCAGTGGTGTGAAGGTCAAGTGCCAAGACACCCCCCACCCCCAACTGTGGAACTGAGAGCAGGTGGAAGAAAGGAAGAAAGAAGGTCACATGGGAACTTCTTCTGTGCCATAGCATGGGAACCAAACCGCACAAGGGTTATCACCTCTCCAGGCACCCAAATATTCCTTCCCG